CCACAAGTGTAATGAAACCACATTCTGGTCCAATATTGTATTAGACCAAACTAAACCTAACACAGCTCCAAGTTTACAACCACGAAACTTCCCTAAGACAACTCAAGCTGAGCACTGAAAAACCTGGCATTTATCTATCTGGATTTGAAACCAGCTTAAAATTGCTACTTCCAGCACTCAAGGGACCCACTGCTCTAAAACTACTACCATGTAAGGTAGAGGGCCAAAGAAAGTACACTTTTCCTCCACCCTGACACACCAAGTCAAATACCCCTCACACTTTAAGGAGCAAACATCCACCTCTTGTTCCCTCAAACAAACACTAAACATCAAATGTAACATTCCTGAAGGAAGGGTTAAAATGAAGTGAAAGTATTTCCATTTGTCATTTCAAATTTCTTAGTTGCTTAGAAGTAAATAGATAATCTTTCAATACTCTTTTATATTATTTTAGTCTGTATTCATCTCTATGCTGTTTTCTCCCTATCCTTCATCTGTTGTTTTCTTGACTCTCTCTCCCTCCTCCCACCCCATTTTTCTTCCCCACCTGTTTATGGTTTCTCTGAAGACCAGCATTTCTACCTGTCATTTTTGGTCTCTTTCCTAGCCCCATGCATATTCTGTTATGTTCATTTTTACATTGCTAAGCAGTGTGCTCCATCCAGCTGCTTTTATGTTCTGTATTAGCTTTCAAATCCTCATCATCTTCTTTCAAGAACTCCTCTTGATCCAAGCACCATCCACCTTGCATCAATGTCTTTTTTTCCAGCTCTTACTAGCATTCATGCTCACCAGGCCCCAGAGAATCCTCCCTGACAAATTCTGCAAAAAAGCAGATTTCTTCAGCAGTCTCTAGCAGTAAAATGTAGAAATGGTTAATCTAACTTCTCTTTTGGCTGCAAGTCACTATTACTTCATGAATCCAACTCTCCCCTTTTAGACTGCAAGTTTGAGACTGAAGTGATTTGAGACACTACAATTATTTTATCAATAATGTTTTGCTTAATAAACACAACACTTAATGTGCAAAATGATATAATTGTGAATTTATTACACAGAATCACAAAGCTATTAATTATCACAAATCTTATGAGCAACACAGAGCTACTATTTAATTACAGTTTGTTTTTTTTTTTTTTTTTAAATCCTTCCCTCCCCACACCACCTAGAACAAGGGTGCATATCTATCCCTCTTTAGACCACTCTCCCACACCAAGTTTTTCAGACACAGAGTTGATGGAGAGTCTTGTAGGTTGTCCAAAATATCCTGGTGGGCTTGCCTGTCAGCTTCATTACTGTTCTGTAGACATCTGTATTCCCACTGTTGGGAGATTTCCCCTGACACACATCCCTTCATTCTTTTACCTACATCCAGAACAACCTTTTTCCACTGCCCTTGTACCTCCCTTTCTCCACAAAAAACTCCTCCCAAGGAAACAACCTGCCCTAAATTACTTTTTCCTCATTGGTCACAATTCTGCTACACCCATACCCTAATGGATAGGTACACTGTAATATGGTGTTGCTGATATCATTACCAAGGCAATCTTGGCCTTTTATGGTATTACTAATACTATCTAGGTACCAGTGGCCTTGAAAGGCCCTGAATACCAAGTCTTCCTTACAATTATCTGGTTCATACTGGTGACACATTATTTTTCCTTGCAAACTCTCTAATACAAATCAGTCTAGTTAATCATTAAAATGAGGTAGAGAAATCAATTAAACACAAGCAGTCTCTTATCTTTGGCCTTCAATAGTTTTAATCAGCCTCCAAGTTCCTTGCAGAGGCCTTGGCTAATTACAAGGCCCTGTGCTCCAGCAGAATCTCTTGCTCAAAGAGGAAGAAAAAAAAAACCCAAAAAACAACACCTAGGAAAGGAAAGGCATCTGCAGGACTCTTGGTAACACTGGTAGCAATCCTGCAGCCCAGGTACCAAAAAAATCCCACAAATACACATTTCTCTAGGATCCTTTCAAAAGGACATCCATCCTTCCTATAGACTTCCAGATCCCCAGAGTAACACATGTATGAAATATTTTGTTTCCTGATATTATCAAAAAAAAA